TATATAGTAAAATGAACCTGTGTGAACCTGTCACATTGCCGTGAGGCAATGTAATGGTTTGGGGGTGTTTTTCTGCTAACGGTCTAGGTCCAATACATCGAATCGATGGAATGGACTGTTTCATATATAAAAATATCCTGAAAGAAGTTATGTTACCTCATGCTGAATGAAATACGCCAATAAAATGGGTTTTTCAGCAAGACAACGATCCGAAACACACTGCAAAAAGAGTCAAACAGTGGTTTCAAGACAACTACCTATCTGTGATGGATTGGCCGCCTCAATCTCCGGATCTCAACCCTATCAAGAACCTGTGGGAGATCGTCAACCGCAGAATTAATCGTGAAGGTGTTCGTAATTAGGATCAACTGTTTGAACAAATCCAAAAGGCCTGGGCAGCAATTTCACAAAGTTTCATTGATCACCTGATTGAATCTATGCCTCAAAGATGCAAGGCTGTGATTGACAGCAAAGGATTCGCCACGAAATATTGATAGTGAAATACAGCTTGGTCAACATTTTGTGGAGTTGCACTTGTTTTGTCCAGAAGGAAATCAACTTTTTTTAATACTTTTGATTAATTTATTAATTTTCGTGTACAAATAATGAACTTTGTGATGAATAAAACTTGAAGAACGTTGTCTCTAAACAGTTACATAGTTATTTCTCTAAATTGAAAAAATGCAGCACTTTTATATAAAGAAACTAAATTAGCATTATTTGGTAGCACTTATTTTGTCCAATACTGTAGGTTTATCAGTTAAAAAATCAGGCAAAGAAAATGAACTTGGGCCCATTTAGCATTAGGTTTAGCATTTCAAGGAAAAAACACAAAAATTAGGGATGTTTATAATGGCAATTTCTATGAATTTTAGAATTGATTGGAAAGTATGATGAAATGACTCATCTTGCTAAAGTTTAACAAAATCAATTAGAATCAAAAAGGATTAAGAGACAACGACATTATTTGTCTTGCAATTACATTATTAGTGATGCACTCCGAATATTTTGCAAATTGAACAAAATATTCTTATTCTTAGGTATATCTCGAAATATAGAAATCAAGGAATTTGAAGTAAATGGGTATTTATCAAATGATGTTAAAATAAATAATAAAAATAATATTTTGATGATTAAAAATTGGCAAAAAATAAGGAAACTTGTTTGGTTGAATTTAATCAGGTCAAGCTTGTTCATTTTTGTGATTTTAATTTAAAGAATTAATTAATATTTTAAAAGGGGACATTATGGTACCATTTCATCATAAAAGTGAAGTTAAGCACTTCACCCTTTAAGTAAACAAACCTTTGAAACCTCATTAAGTTGAAAAATCAATTTTAAAAAATTTATAATTTGAATTTAAACTTTGAAACATTTTAAAACTGAATCCTTTTTGAAACAAAAATCTCTAAATAAATACAAAACTTATTTAGATTTTGAAAGTAAAAGAGATTTTTTTAAACGCCAAACATGTTTTTTATGAATTTCTTCCTTTTTTTTTATTTGTAAAATAAAAAAATTTTCCTTTTGTTTGCACAACCATTAAGGAGGAGCCTACAAAAGGCTCCTGCATGGGTCCTATTTCAGACAGTGGGAGCGATGATGTCAGATGGAACAGTCTGGCTGATTGTCTTGAATTCTATCTAAAACACTGATTTTATTAACAATTTTCAAGAAAAGAAAGCAATACTGGGTAAGAGTATTAACAATTGTAACAATATTTGTAAAGTACAGAGGAAAACTTTTACAAATGTTTAAACCAATTGCTGTTGCATCAGACCTGATGCAGTGGGACAGTTGTACTATTGGTGACAAGCTTAGCCAAGATGCTGAAAAGAAATTAAGCAAAATTATACAGCAGGCAAAGACAGTATCGGACAAAATAAGTGCAACCAAATAATGCTAATTTAGTTTCTTTATATAAAAGTGCTGCATTTTTTCAATTTAGAGAAATAACTATGTAACTGTTTAGAGACAACGTTCTTCAAGTTTTATTCATCACAAAGTTCATTATTTGTACACGAAAATTAATAAATTAATCAAAAGTATTTAAAAAAGTTGATTTCCTTCTGGACAAAACAAGTGCAACTCCACAAAATGTTGACCAAGCTGTATTTCGCTATCAATATTTCGTGGCAAATTTTTTCTAATATTGTCATTCTTAAATACTAAGTTAAAAATTTAACTGATAAAAAAATAGAGATTGTAATGGATTTTGTGGCTTTGAAGAATATAGATTTTCTTTTACTTTTGGTTAATTTTTAAGCAGAAGCTGCAACATTTCAAAAGTTTATGTTCCATGATAACATTGTTCAAACTATAAATCCATGTGATTGGCAGAAATCTCATAATGGTTGTGCGAACCAGGAATTACTGGAAGTTGTTGATCAGTTACTTACTGCTGTTGCTTCATCTGGAGGTGCAGAAAGAACATTTGGTTTTGTGCATTCAAGAATTAGAAATCTACTCGAAATTAAGAAAGCAAACAAATTGGTTTTCTTATTCAAACTATTCAATCAGAAAACATTGAAATCAATGAAATTAATTGATTGAGTGATTGACAATTTGAAATCAATTGGCATTAAAAAGATTTTAAAATTAATTTTATTATGATTTTTATCAGTTTTCTTTATTAAATTAACTTTATTTAATTATTATGTGATTAAAAGTTTCTATTTCAAAAATGCAGGGGAATTCAATATAAATCAAAAAAATCAAATCTCAATTAAAAAAAAAAGAATTTTGTTGATTTCAAAATGATTTTCATCAATCCTAATATATATAAACTCAAAACTTCAAACTTTAAAAATTCTTTAGATCTTAGGATTGATTGTTTTGGATGCCTATTGGTTGGTATCCTCAAAAATATTTTCATAGGATGTTTCATTGTATTGCATGAAAATATTTTATAGGATATTTCATTTAATGAAATTAATTTAATTTAATCACCAAAAATCAAAAAAAAAAATAAAAGTATATTTATATTGTATATATATAAAATATATATATATATATATATATATATATATATATATATATATATATATATATATATATATATATATATATATATATATATATATATATATATATATATATATATATATATATATATATATATATATATATATATATATATATATATATAGTTTCAAAGCAAGATTGGATAAATTTTTTGAATCAGAAAACCTTGAAGATGATTAACGATGAAATTGGCTTTATTCCCATTTAATTAACTTAATTCAAAATAATTTGCCAATTTTTATGTAGGCCGCCACAACCAGAATTGGTTACACAAGCTATAGCTTGTTGCGGTACAATAAATAATAATAATAATAATATATATATATATATATATATATATATATATATATATATATATATATATATATATATATATATATATATGTATACATATATATGTATATATATATATATATATGTATATATATATATATATATATATATATATATATATATATATATATATATATATATATATATATATATATATATATGTATATATATATATGTATACATATATATATATATGTATATATATATACATTTATATATGTATATATAGGCACAACAAATCGTTATTTTTTAATGAACGTTGATGTTCATATCTTTATTTATTGACGAACATCTAATTTAAGTGATATATGTCAAATTAGGGAGTTTTATTTTTAAATAATTTTTGTTCTAGTTAATAAATTATTATTTATATCAAAGATGCTTATTGAATTTAATCAATTTTTATTTTTCAAAACAATTTTTCATGCATTTGCAAAGTGCGCGCAAATTAATGATAATTAATATGCAATGACCTAACGATTGTAAATTGTTATCCATTGATACAAAACAATAAATTTCTCTTAATTTAACCCGTTAAATTTCTTTACTCATAAAAAAACATATAAACTTGAAGAAATTAAAATAAAAGGAACTAAAAATAAATATTGTTTTGACTTTTTAAAAAATAAAAAACAATATCATATTAACTATTTACTAATAAGCTAATAAAAATATCATATTATTGGTGTTGCTAAACACACAATAAAAAATGAAAACTATAATAAACATAATAATTCTATATATTCTATTAGATTATAAATACTTCACTAATACTTAAAAATTTTTCTAAACTTTTAAAAGTGTTTTTAACATGCAAACAAAAATTACTCCACTTTAAGGAAAATAAGAAAAGTTTCAAAAAAGCACACTTTTGAAGAAAGCAATTGTAATGTTTAAGCATGGTTTCTTTTAATGCAATTGCAAATGCATTTATTTAAGAAAATTTTGCATGCTTTTATAAATACATGAAAAAACCATGCTTAAACATAATTACTCTCTCTTTAACAGCGTACTTAGTTACTATACACAAAACTAACGCTTTTGAAGAAAGTAGTCATGTTTGGTCAAGTCTTTGAAAATGCATTTTAAACTTTAGTAACTATTTTTATTTTAAATGTGTTTTTTATAATAAATATAAAATTATTAATTGTATAACTATTAAGAGAAAAAAAATTTGCTGAAGTAATATGTTCATTTTGAAAAAGTTTAAGCAAACGCTAACATTTGCATAAGCAAAAGTAAAGCAACATGACATTTGTTTTGATGTGTTTTTTTTAACAAACGTTTGCACATTCACTGATATGTCAAACCATGAATGTATTTATATTTATACACACACACAACATATATATATATATATATATATATATATATATATATATATATATATATATATATATATATATATATATATATATATATATATATATATATATATATATATATATATATATATATATATATATATATATATATAATATATATATATATATATATATATATATATATATATATATATATATATATATATATATATATATATATATATATATATATATATATTATGCAGTATATATAAATGTATATATTTTTATATATTGCATAAATATGAATTTGGACAAGGAAAAGAACTGCATTTTTACCTCTTTCTGTTCAGAATGTTGTGTAGCAGGATTGTTGGGTAAAATAGTACTTTTCACTTGAAAATAAAAAAATTTAAAATTAAAAACATTAAAACTTCATAAAACAAAGCAATATATATAATAGTAACAAAACTTAATTGACTCAAACTTTAAACTTAAGAAGAACTAAAAATAACAGCAGAGCACTCTTATGAGTATGGCATGAGTAAATCTGTTTTTAAAATTAATAAGACGAGCAACATTCTTCTGTTGACGATAAAAAGGCTCCAGTTTACATTTATTGGCATTGCACCAAGCAATATTTGCATAGTTTAAATGACAATGGATAAAAGAGAAATATAATTGAATTAGACTACGTTTATTTAACACACCTCTAGCTTTATACAATATTCCTATACTTTTAGCAATTTCATTACACAAGAATTCAATGTGGTGTTTGCAACTAAGGTTTTCATCAACATAAATACCCAAAAAATTAGCACTAATTACTCTTTTTATTTGGATTTTATCAATATAAAGTAAAGGTAGTTCACAAGGAAGTAGTTTTTTTTTAGACATTGGATGAAAAAGTGTCCATTTTGTTTTTTCAACATTTAGTGAAAGTTTATTCACTTTAAACCAATCAGATATTTTTGTTAATTCCATGTTCATATCTCGAAATAATGTAGTTATGCTATTATCAGACAAAAAGAGGTTAGTGTCATCGGAAAACATGACTGACATCAAATCAGAAGCTTTATGAAGATTATTAATACAAATGAGAAAGAGAAGAGGTCCTAATATCGAGCCCTGCGGAACCTCACAGGTTATGTTTAATAAATTGGATGGGTTAACTTTATTACTATAAACAAACTGTTTGCGATTACTTAAGTAACTTTAAAACATTTCCTTTATTTCCATATTATTTAACTTCTTTAAGGAGAATTTGGTGATCGATTGTATCAAAAACTTTAGATAAATCTATGAAAACTCCCTATGTATATTGGAAATTTTCAAACGATTTAGAAATACTACGAGTTATATGGAGTATCGCATGTTCTGTTGATGTATTTTTTAGTATAAAATATATTATTTAAAAAAAGGTGATTATAAATTACGTTATATAGGATTCTCACTAACACTTTAGAAAAAACAGGTAAAACAGAGATTGGGCGATAATTTATAAGATTTGTAGTATCACCTTCTTTGAAAATTGGTGTGACTTTGGCTATTTTAAGATGGTCTGGAAATATTCCCTGTTTTATTGAACAGTGTAAAACTTTAAACAGTACATCTTTCAAATGTTCATACAAGTCAATGACCACATTACTATATATACTGTCGTGACCGACAGATTTATTAGACTTTAGCATTTAAAAAAATTGCTCAAATTCTTCAAAAGATAATTCAAAGGAAGTTAGAAAAATTAACGGAAATATAAGTTTCAATATATATATATATATATATATATATATATATATATATATATATATATATATATATATATATATATATATATATATATATATATATATATATATATATATATATGTATATATATATATATATATATATATACAAATAGTATTTTAAAAAACCTTACTTTGAAGCTTAATAAGTTTATATAAATTTGATATTTAATTTTATTCTTTAGGAGGTCATAGCAATTGTAGTTCTGCTCAGGCTGTTTTAAATTTAATTAATTTGACAGAAAACCTTGATTCCACATCATGTAAACAAGTTGCTTCAGGCATAATTAAAAACAAGATGAAGCGAGAAGGCATAGATAGAGGCCAATTCTTTAAAATATCTACAGGTAGCTAAGTTTTTTATTTTCATTATAAAATTGTTGATAAAAGATGTAAATGTTCATATAGTCTATATTATATATTATATATTATAAAACCTAAAGGCATTCAAAAAAAGATATATAGCATATAACTTGACAATTATTTAAACTGTTATATATATATATATATATATATATATATATATATATATATATATATATATATATAATATATATATATATATATATATATATATATATAATGATTCATACATATTCATGATAAGTACCCTCTCTAATTAAGTGTTCTATTTATATGGATTTTTTGATTAATATGTGTATATTATCTTATTTTTCTGTGTTGTTATTTGTTGCAATTGAATATATATTAGCATAGCTTAGATATATAGATAGATATAATTTTGTTTATGTCATTCTAGCTTTATATATCAGTATTGCATTAACTACAGCTTAAAGAAGAAGGTACGACAAATGATCGGATTAGCCAAATTACAGACAACTTTTTATTGAGCTTCAATTGTAGTTCATTTTAAAATTATTGTTGTGTTTTATAAGTTTTAAAGAGTTTTAATGTTAATAATTTTCTTGAAATTTGATAAATTTTTTCTATGTTTTGTTTTATATATATATATTTGTTAAAATTTTTATATTTTGTTTTATATATATATATAGGTACGCGAATATCGTGATTTACGGAACCAATTTTTGTGCTAAAATTTTGTTACTCGCTTTTTTTACTTTTTTTTAGGCAGCGTGGGGTAGACATAGTTTTGTGGAGTTTCTTTTTAGAAACATATACACACATACTATGTGTGTATATGTTTCTAAAAAGAAACTCCACTTGGCTGAACAATCAAACTCAACTTGGCTGAACAATCAAAAAAGCGGAAACTACATGGCTTGGACTACAAATTCATGTGAAAACATCAACCAAATATTTAGGAGCAAAATAATCCATTAAAAAGTTTAGTAACCATACATAAAAAATAAAAAAATAAAAAATAAGCTTCTCTTCTTTCCAAAAAGTATCTATGTCATAGATACTTTTTGGAAAGTATCTATGACATAGATATACATGTATTTTCTATTTATGTGCCAAACTTCAACGAAAAATAATTGGGAGCAGATATGTTAAGAGGTGCTCTATTAAATATACTGCTTTTTTTAGGTAGGGTTAGACAAACGTTTTTAGTGGTGTTTCTCTTTAGAAACATATATAAACAAAAATTATATTTGGAAAGAAGAAAGATTAGGCTTGATTTTTATAGTACTTTTATGTATAACCACTAAACTTTTTTATGGTTAGTACTGTTGAAAACTTTCATAAAAATGTCGTTGATGTTCTTACATTAAGTTGTTATTGAAGTAATGTAGTTTCCGCATTTTTTGATACTCTGGCACTTTTTTGCCTAAATTCGTTTTTTTTTGTTTTTGTTCTATCGGTAAGAGAAATACAGGGAGGATAGGGGGGAGGCGGATGGTAAACAAAAAAACTATTACTACATTGTATTATTTTAATTTTCATGATAATAACTTTTTTTTAAAAACAAAACAATAATGATAAGTTTAAAAACCTTAAACTTTGTTTACATGGCATGTAAACAAAGATTAAGGTTATTAAACTTATACCAATGATGGTATATATTAAAAAAGATTAGGATTTAAGATTAAACCGTTACTTTGGATATTTTATTAACTAATAGTATCAGATGCCAATGTTGTTGATATAAAAATATACAAATGACATTATTATACTTTAAAGTAAATCTTTATTGGCTTAAGCCAATAATGTTTTTGACAAAATACTTTTATAATAATAAGCTTATTCTTGTAAAAATATCAAGATACTTTTACAATAATAAGTTTATTCTTATAAAAATATCTTGTTAGTGTTTTTTTAATATACAGTAATAAAATTTTAATATACAGTAATATAATTTATGTTTTTTATTATTTTTTCATTGCTTTTTTTTGTTAGTAAAGTTGTTGTACGTATAGCAGAACTGATTTGATAACTGTTATTTTTATTTACTGCTGACAATTTCGAGATGTTTTTCTTTTTGATTTTACAACTTTTTTGTTATCTTTAGTCCAATCTGCACAGACAACAGCTGGTAAGCTATTATAGCATAACTTTTATTAACCATTAAAGAAATATAAAGAAATTTATGTATTTCTTACTTATTTAATTATTACTTGTTGTGTATGGATTTCCCATTTGCTGCAATATTAATTTTTCAATTTTAGTATCTACCTCGTGCTTCACCTGGTAAGTTTAACAACCTCTTCTTTTTAATGTGCAAACTTTACAATATGTTTAACTTTAGTTCCTTAGTCATGTGCTGCAACTAGTAATTTAAAAAACTATTACATTTAATGTGTATGCATTTCTCGTTATTTGCAATATTGATTTTTTGTTACAACTTTGTGATTTTAGCATCTACCTCTTGTGCTACACCTGGTAAGTTAAACAACTCTTTTTAATGCGCACAAATTTCTAATTGATTGCAATATTGATTTTTATAATATATTTTTTACCTTTAGTTCTTTCTATCTGTGCTACGCCTGGTAAGTTTCAAAACCTTTTTTCTTTTAACATGTGTATGTATTTCTTATCAATTGCATATTCTTTTTTGCAATTGCATTTCTTAACTGGTCTTTGACTAAAACCTTTTTTTTATAGTTACATCTTCAGCTGTCACATCAAGTAAGTTTAAAAATTATTACTTTTTAGACTATGAATGCATTTATTAACAGTTGCAATTTTTATTTTTTATTAAAACAAATTTTAATTTTAGTTTCATCTGCACCACTTTCAAACGGTAAGTTTGAAAATCTGGAAAGTCTCGGATTGATTATTGAGTTCCTCTTATTCCTATTTATATAAACTATTTAATACTTTTACATATGAATCTTATAGGTAAGTATATATATATATATATATATATATATATATATATATATATATATATATATATATATATATATATATATATATATATATATATATATATATCAACTTATCATTTTTCTATTTTATAATATTTGAGATTTTTTCTTAATACCAAAACGAAACTTCTACATACCAAAAACTTCACCAAAAAACTCTTTTAAAAGTAGTAAAAAATTTACTTTAAAAATTTTACCTTCAATTTTTTAATTAATTATTTTTGATACTTTAATTTATTATCCAAAATACATAACTTTTAATTTATTACCTTCGTTTAGTTTTGATCCACATTCGGAACAAAACTTCCCGTCTCTTGTTTGATTGCATGCATTACAAAACATGATGTTATTATTACATAGCATATTTGTTAAATTCGTTTGGTTAGAAGATTTATTTTCAACTGTATCTCTAGTTAGATTGGGTAGGAAATCAAATCAAAAGAAAAATGCAAGCAAAGTTAAAGTAGATATTAATTCTCAATGTCTATTACTATTTATCGCTCTTATTATTAACATATCACGAGGTTAATATAAATTTGCTGTTACAAAACAACAAGATGAATACGATTGGCTATGTAGTAAAATTCTAAGAAATAAGTACCGAGAACAAAAGCAAAGTTTAAGGCGGAGAGTAGTCGTATTTATGGGTCTGAATAAACGAGTTTCAAATGTTTACATTCTCGTTTTCAAAAAAGATGCGCGCGCAAACTTGTAGCTAGAAAAACAAATAATCGGAAATTTTATAGCTATTTGTATGTTAAATTTATTCAGTGATTCTTATTTACTCACTGATTCATTAATTTAACAAGAAATAAATTATGCCAACCAGATGTTGTGCTGTTGGTTGTTCAAACAAATTTAAAAAAGAATGTAGTTTGAAATTTTATAAATTTTCATGAGGAAAATCGCCTTTAGAGAAAAGAAGACGTATAGACTGGATCAGGAGCGGATCCAGGCTGTAGCAAGTGTAGCTTAATTGTTTTATTTTGTTTTTTTTTCTTTATTACATACATTTTTTTTTTTTTTTTTTTCATGCAAAAGAGAAAAATAATAAGATATGGAGATTACAAGTAGTCAAAATGCGGCGCTTCAAAAACTTATTCAAAATCGTAGCTGACTATGATGAATCGTAGCTGACTATGGTGAAATGCAAGAAGCAAACTTGAGTCAAGCTCGACTTGAACTTTACATTGCAACCAATAGCGACAGAGTATGGGATTTCCCCTCAAAAAATACTCTGCCGCTATTGGTTACAAAGTAAAGTTCAAGTCGAACTTGACTTCTTGCATTCCACCCTTAAGGCCGTTTTCCACAAGACGAAAAATTCGCGCGAAACGAATTTTTTCGTCGTTGAGCATGCGCAGATTAAACATTTTTGGCGATTATACTGATTTTTTTTCGCTTCTTCTTTAACTTGGTTAAAGATAAAGTTTGTTTGACTCCCATATTTAATACTTTTATGCTTTAATGCATTACTTAATTGAAATTGAGTGTTATCATCGCAATATATTTTCCTATATTAATTTATGAAAAACCACTAAAAACTTTCTACACCAAAATCAAACAAAGAACTTGTTGTTTTAAATGTTGTTTTAAACAAGGAACAACCATATTAAGTTTATCTTGTTAGGTTGACATTTATTCAATGATACTTTTATTTTTATTATTTGCTAAGATTTGTTAATTGTATCATTGATAATTGCAATATCCATGAAGTTTGCTGTTTTTGGGTTTTAAAAGCTTTTCTGATTTATTTTATTATAGTTTTATTGAAAAAGTTTACCTAAGTTTTATTTTTTATTTGATTTCAAACCTGTTTCTTTTTTTCATTATTTGACAAAAAGTTTATTGTAATGAAGCATTAAAGTTTATTTTTAAAAATATGAAAATATTTACAAATTGTTTTAATAAGTTTATATAAATAGTTACAGTATCTATTTTAATTTTCACATATTTTATTAAGTAAGCCATTAAATAATGTGTTTTAAAAAAAATAAAAATAAATTTAATTTTAAACAAGTTTAGATTAAATTTGTCGTTTTCATTTTCAAGTATCAATCTCCAATTTTTTTGCAGATCAAATCATTTTAATAAGCACAAATATTTTGTTGATTTAAATATATAGATAAATTTATATGATAATGTTTTGTGTATTATAAGGCATAAATACATTGACTGGCAATAGGAATACCAAGAACTAAATGTAAATACATCGACTGAGGATAAAGGTTCGGTCATGGTTTTAGTCATGGTTAAAAGTCATAAAAGACAAGTAAACCATCTTTTTGTTAAAAAGTATTTAAATTTAACTAGATGGTTTTAACATCGCGTAAATCAAGTAACATTCTTCCGCTCTAAACAAACAAAAAATAGAAAAAAGAAGTAATAGGGGACCTCGTCAGGGGCGGACTTAAACCCCGTCAAGTGCTGCAAGTGACGGGGTAAAAAAACAAAAATAAATATAAGTATTATGACGTCTAGCGCCCGCCTAAAGTTAATTGCCGATCTATATATTTTTGTTAGAAAATATAATTAGAAAAAGTTTACAGTGAAAACTATGCTTTGCAGACGTTTGAAAAAGTGTTTTTAAAAATTGCTAATGTAAACTATACTTTGCAGGATATGAGAAAATTATTTATAAAACTTGCTAATGTAAACTCAACTTTGCAGGATATGAGAAAATTGGATAAGTTCATTGGTTTACGCTATTAAAAGTAGCAATTTGATTCGTTTAGAAAAAAAATCATGTTTAGTGTAAACTATCCTTTGCAGAATTTGCAGCAGTAATTTGATTGGTTGGAAAGATCGGTAAACAACACAAGACAAAGAACTCCGTTTTAAAAACAAAGTATTTCCTTAAAATTTTAACGTCTAAGCATGGTTTACAACTTGATTGATGATGTACTTAAAAGATTTAAAACCGATAATCTTGCCGATTTAAATACTTTTTATGAAACTTTATTGGATACATTTATTTACAACAATAACAAAATGGTTAGTAACGAAGGTCTTTTAAGTTGTTTTATTGATGGCACAATAAGAAGAAATATATGTGCCGAAGTTTGTATCCCTTCTTACTTAAAAGACAATAAAATGCATTGTATTGCTCTAAGGTAAGTCAATTTACTTTTTTTTTCAAAAATAATTATCTTATTGTATTTTATTACAAAATTTAATACTTTTTTTAAAAATATTTATTGTTAATACCGTATTAATCTATTCTATAAAAAAATCTCGTTGATTAATCAATATTTAATAAGTGTCAAAAAAGGTCTGAAGCATCTGGAAGTTGTATGTACAGCTCTGCATCATTATTTTTTGTTGCTGACAATACACTGATGGATGTGTTAAGAGTTTTAACATCCCTTGAAATTTATATACATGCTGATTATTACTGTAAGCATCCTTTATTTTCAAAAATATTTTCTGATTATAGTTCTCATTTTATTAATCTCAAAAGTTTGTTGTGTATGTCAGTATCTCATTCCGCATTAGATTCTGGCTTCGAAAATAATAATATTATTAAAGCTGAAGCAATTGCAAACTGTGAGAGCACAGAAAAATTGGCTGGTTTTTTATGTTTGTTAGGTTTATCATCGGTTCTTTCTTGTAATATTGTTTCCTGTTACCCAGATTTTAGTGTTGAAAAGTATAAAATATTTTTTAACCAAGAGATCTCACCACGTACTCCCATTAAATTTTGTTCCATATTTTACATTTTGTTTTGTTATGATGGGAATTTTCAGTCATGTACATTTCAGCATAATCACTATATCCCACTAATTTTTATTCCTAAAAAGCGTAAACTTTCCAGTATATCAAAAATAATAATTTCGAAAAAATTGCTACCAGTCTTGTCACCTAATAAATTTCTAGATACAAAACAGACCATTGATCAAGTTGCTACAATTGTACCCAGTACAGAAGCTAAAAATCCAAATAAAAAGTCTTACTCTATCCTTACATTCTTTCATAAAACAAACCCAGACTTAGAACCTACTAGTGCAATCTTACAAAATACATCTTGTATTCTAAAATCAAATAGTTTTTCTTCTCAATTAGCAGTGTCTTCTTCTCAATACACAACATCTTTTCAATCATTAACATTAAATAAAGATGTTTCTTCTCACTCAAAAACATCTAAGAACAGTGTTCTATCAAAATCTTTTTTTACAAAATCAAAATCAAGCATCAGGAAAGTACCTAATTTTTATAATAATAATATTGAATGCCCTTCAAACATTTATTTACCACCTAAAGAAGTACTAAATGCTCTCCAGTCTTTTGAGCAAAATGATGTTGCTTTCTTTAGACAAAAAGTTGAATTTTTATCTGACCATGAAATTTTTTTATTAACTAAAAATATGTTTATTCGCAATGAAGATTACATTTTCCCAAAAAATTCTGGCCGTCAGTTTAGATATCTTTGGTTGAAAGAGTTTTCTTGGCTGAGATATTCTAAAAGTACTGATGGGGCATTTTGTTTATCTTGTGTATTATTTGGCAATAAATTCAAACTAAGATCACGTAAGTTAACACATTTGTATTTGGAGCCTTTCAAAAAATGGTCTGATGCTATTAAATCATTTTCAAATCATGAGTCAACTAAAAATGGTTTACATGCATTTACTATGCCTGTTTTTAATATTTTTTTGAGTCATTCCTTAGGCATAAGTCAACTAATAAATGTCATCATTGATACTAATGTAAAAGAAAAAATAATAAAAAATCGCCAAATACTTCGTCCTATTGTTGATGCTATAATTTTTTGCGGTCAAACAAATACACCTTTGAGAGGCCACAGAGATGATTCACAATATCTTCCAGAGGCTGAAGAGTATTCGAAATGTGGAACTGGTTGTTTTAATAAACTTTTAAATTTTTCTGTACGCAATGGAAATGATGTTTTAGACTAATAACTGTTCAAAGAATGTCTCTTACATTTCGAAGACTTCACAAAATGAAGTTATTAAATGCTGTGGTGAAGAAATTAGTGAATCTATACTATCTGAAGTTCGCAAAAATGTTTTTCAATAATTGCAGATGAAGCCTGTGACTCATCTACTAAAGAGCAAATGTCATTAGTTTTACGATTTGTTGATAGTGATTTCAATATCAGAGAAGACTTTATTCAATTTATTCATTGCAGTGAAGGAGGTAAAGGAAAAGATTTGTTTAATGTTCTTTTAAATTGTGTAAGCAACTTAAATCTAGATATAAAAAACTGCAGGGGTTGACAGATATGATGGAGCCAGCTCTGCCTCTGTCTATATAAATGGTCTTTCTGCTCAGGTTCTCAATATAAATTCAATGGCTTTGTATACACATTGTCATAGCCATGAACTGAACTTATCAGTTTGTGAATCGTGTAATGTCCAATTAGTTTCAGAGGTTTTTAATAAAGTTTGCGAACTTTCTTATTTTTTTAATTATTCAGAAAATAGACAAAAGTTTTTAGAAGCTAGCATTTTAGAGTGAGAACCTCAAATGCATAAAAAAAAATTAAAAGATATCAGTAGAACTAGATGGATTGAGCGTATAGATGGTTTAAACACTTTTCTTGAGCATTATTTATCTATTTTCCATGCTTTATGTATCATGGCTTCCCCTGAGAGTTCTGTTAACAAAAACACACAAAACAAATCTTCTACTTTTTTAAATTCCATTGGCACTTTTCAATTCGTCTTTACTTTAGTTGTGACAACACGTGTCTTTGATTTTACTTTACCTGTTACTCGGTTACTGCAATCAAAAACTATTGATATCTCAGACGGTTTGCACCTTATTATAGCTCTTAAAAATACATTTATTTCCATCAGAAACGATATAGATAGTTTTCATAATAACTGCTATGAAGCAGCATGTTTGCTTTCAAGTAAAGCTGAAATTTTTGTTTTAAAACCAAGGACCTGTTCTTTTCAAAAAAAATCGTTCAAATGTTCCATCAAAGTCTGTTTCAGATTACTTCAAAAGAGCTGTTACTATCCCTCTTATAGATCATGTATCTACATCTATATCTACAAGATTTAAATCAGCAACTGTAGCTGCATATAAAGGGTTATCACTTATTTCATTTAATATTATTTCTTTACTTAAAAGATCCAAATCCCAATTGTGTTGGAGGAAGCAGTTTGAAACATTCTGTGATTTTTATATAGATGATTTCCCTAATATCAGTGCCTTGAATGGGGAACTAGTTCTTTGGGAAAAATACTGGGAAACTTTCTCTGGGACTATTCCTTACAATATATCTTTAACTCTTAAATCGATATCATTTCCTGGATTTGAAAATATTAAGATAGCTTTAAGGATACTTGGGACACTTCCTGTTATTTCATGTGAGTGTGAGAGGAGTTTTTCTGTTATGCGTCGGTTAAAAGACTATATGAGAACAACAATGTCAGAAGATCGACTTAACGGTTTGGCATTAATGTATATCCATCAAGAAATTGTTCATTGTATTGATAATGTTATCAATAGATTTTCTATAAAAAATAGACGACTTGATTTCAATGATTAGTGTCTATACTGTTTATTCTATAACACGCCAACAACTTCTGAAATTTTTGTCTATTATCACCTCTCTTCATATAACAGCTAACAAATAGGCATGGAAACCCCTGGAAAGGCCATGACTTCAATGGTGTCCTTAACAGGACGGGTTAAATGTAACCCCATACTTTTGTTTGGGATTAGCTATATGATTAGTGATCATAGTACAGGCAAACATTAACCATCTCTTTTTGACAATCTTTTTATATCATTTTCTAGCGACAAAATAAAAAATTTAAAAAATTATTTTCATTAAATTTTCTCTCAATCAACCTAATAATATTCATAAGGTTTTGTGCCATTTAAATCAGTTTTTTGCTGTATAGTCAAAACCATTAGCTTTCTTTTTACTTCATCAAAAATGATCTTCTTTTATGTTGTTAAAGCTTAACTTGGTATGTCTTTTTTTTTTTAATCTTGTTATATAAGAATATATATAACTTTTTATTTCACGATGTATATAAATCCATTTGTATTTTTGTCTTTCTCTTTTCAGTTCTTAATTTTTCTTTCTCTGATTGTCCATGTCCGGAATAAATATGTTCCTAGACATGCTGATGAGCCCTGATATTGGGCGAAACAATCATTTGTTGGTTTATATATTTATTATATATTTATATATAAAAAAAATTTCAAAGCAAAACTAAGATATGAGCTTCTCAATGAAATAGCAAAAAGAAAAACCCTTTAAATCCTTTTAAATGCCCCCTATGTATTCCCTAAATCCTCCTGCCCTTGGGCTGGAGGATTTAGGGAATACATAGGGGGCAGGCTATGGGAGCGATGGCCTCCCTTAGATGTTTTTTTATAAGAACATTTTGTAAAAACGAAAATTAATTTGGTAGGCTGTTTAAAAGTGGCATAAAATTGGGTAGTCTAAATTCTTTTTTTTTTGGGCTTGCCTGCTTAAAAATCATTAAACCTGTAAATCGTCCCCTTTAATCGTTTGTCTCGAACGAAAAAAAAAATTGCCCACCCCTCTTTACTACATAGTCCGGATCCGCCCTTACTTTTTCCTCCCCCCCCCCCCATTTTTTCTATTTGCTTTGTGGGTGTAGTTGCGTCACTTACAACATGGCGTAAGGCGCATTTTTTTGACGGGGTAAATTAAAAACCTGCGTCCGCCCCTGCTCGTGTATTACTATAAGCCACCGTACATCCAAGACTGGGACAAATAGTGTGTGATACCTTCCCCTCATCCTCTAACAATGAATCTTTGTTAATTATGTCTGCAAATTTAGCTCTTTTAGACCAGCAAATTGGCGTATGTAGACCATATAGTACAGATGCAAGCTTGAACTTTTAGAACTGTCGCAAAGGTGAAAAGGGAGGAATTATATTTTTTTTTGTAAATAAAAAAATAATAATGGCATTTTTGCTACAGTCAATAAAAATCCTGGATCTGCCCCTGCTAATGTACAATATGTAAAATATACTTTATGTTCTATTATTATGTTGGTGAATTGTACGTGTTAGAAATCACGTAGATGCGTGTTGAAAGTCAAGCATCTACGTAAGTTGTTTCAACTGTAATTAACAGTATATTCTCATGGGACTTTTTAATTTAATATATATAGAGAAAAGATTTTTGTATAGGATGTTAGAAAGAATATATAAAGCTATAGATTATAAACGTTATTAAATTAAATAGGCGCGACGATAAAACACTTTATGTAATTCACTGTAAGAAAACTCAGTCAAGACAAACCAGTTACTTATATATAATATTTTTACTTATATAAGTAATATATAAGTAACTGCATTGTCTTGACTGAATTTTCGTACAGCAAATTAGCAGAATAAATTATGTATTTGTGACTTGTTTGACAATACTTGTATTATACATTCTATTATAATTCTATCATAAGCATATACATTTTTTGGGGTAGGGGATCATCTCATCTTGGAGAAAGAAAATTTGGATATAAAATCACCACTTTAATGTGGTATGGGTATGTGGCGATGATTAATTTATTTGCAAATGTGTTTTATTTATTTTTTTTCATTATTTCTGAGTGCATTCTAAAATGTCAGTTTATGTAACTCAACACTTTGTAGGTTGGTCGTTTTAAACTATTTTGTGGGCAGTCACCTTCACACCTGATGAGTTAATGTATGAACAATATATATAATATAATAAAGATAGAAAACAGTTGTATAATCAGACGTTGTCACATAAGGTGATTTCAGGTACGTCTTTTTAAAGTAATCAAAATCTCAACAGTGTTTAAAGTATAAGGAAAAACGTTTTTTCTTACAAAAATATGTCAAAAATATCTTTAGTTACTCAAAATCGATCTAGTTTTTATAAATTAGGATAAAATATTAGAAATAGGATTTTGCCGATTTTAATATTTTGGAAATATTAGGATAACGTTGAGTTTAGAAACCATTTGATACAGAAAACACTGTTTTTTGATGATTGATTCTGACAATTTTTAACATTTTGTTGTCGTTAAAATCTTGAAGCTGGTTAATTAGCTTCAGGGTTTGTAGAAAAATATTATTTAAGATAATTATTTAAGATTTTACTTATTCATTAGCATCACTTGGTGTTGTATATTTGGTATCGTATTGGAAAAAATATCGACTGATTCGTTAGAGAACATTTGAAGCGTTTTCCTCGTGGATTGGCTGCAGATCTATGACTGGATTTTTTTACTTATTCCTTAAGGAAGATATTTGGAAAATAAAAAAATGTTAATGTCAAGAACTCATTTAATGACTATAATGAAACCATGTGATTTGTTTATTAGGTACCTATAAAATAAAAGATTTCCTCAACCTTGAATTTTGCATTTCTTCTGTAAACAAATCTAAAAACTCGTAATTGTAAAAAGCATAATTATCGCAATAAAGAACTATTTGTCGTCAATTATGACTTTGATGACACGCTGTTTGCACGTTTCAGAGATACGTAGAAAATTCAACAATATGCCACCTCCTTAAGATATGTCTTTATGGTCCCTATGAAATGTCTAAAAGTTGTGACTTAAGGACGTGCTTTTCTGGTTATTTTTGGTACGTGATATTTAAGTGACTTTTTGGTCTTTATGAAATGAACGATTTTGTTCATTTCATAGTGACCAAAAAGTCACCTGAATATTACGTACCAAAAGTAACGAGAAAGCTCTCCATAAAACATCAATGTATTTCTCACTTGAACCAATTAATACCATTTATAAAAAAAAAATTTTAACTAAATACCCTTTTGTTACTAGCTTTTTTCTTCTCAATAGAAACTTAATTAAGAAATTTGTGTGAGCAAATATCTAAAGAATACTAATGCCATCTTTTATTATTATTCTTTCAATATATTATTTAATTAATTACACTTTTTTTTATTTTTTTTATTATTTTTATTGTTACTACTACTATTTTTCTTATTGTTATTACTATTATTATTTATATATCTTTGTTTTTGTTGCCTTAATATTATTTCCTATAATGATACTCGAAGTAGTGCAGTAGTTGAAGTAGTTTTATCATTATTGTTATAACTATTCTTTAAATTGTTTATTTTATAATTATTAACTATACTATAATTATCTTACTATTGCTTTATCATTTATAATTCTTTTTACGTTTTTATATTGTAGTTATTATTTTTTATATTATTTTTATACATATTATTATTATTATTATTTTTATAAATATTATTACTTTTAACTTTCTTTTCCTCTTTTTTTTTTATCTTCTTTATTGTTATTGTTGCTATTATGTATATATATATATATATATATATATATATATATATATATATATATATATATATATATATATATATATATATATATATATTATGTATATATTTATATATATATATATATATATTATGTATATATTTATATATATATATATATATATATATATATATATTATGTATATATATATATATATATATATATATATATATATATATATATTATATATATATATATATATATATATATATATATTATGTATATATTTATATATATATATAATATATATACATATATATATATATATATATATATATATATATATATATATATATATATATATATATATATATATATATATATATATGTATATATATATATATATATATATATGTAATATATATATATATATATTATATATATATATATGTATATATATATATATATATATATATATATTATATATATATATATGTATATATATATATATATATATATATATATATATATATATATGTATATATATATATATATATGTATATATATATTTATATATATATATATATATATATATATATGTATATATATATATGTATATATATATATGTATATATATATATATATGTATATATATATATATATATATATATATATATATATATATATATATATATATATATATATATATATATATATATGTATATATATATATGTATATATATATATATATATATATATATATATATATATATATATATATATATATATATATATATATATATATATATATATATATATATATATATATATATATATATATATATATATATATATATATATATATAAGGGATTGCAATCCCGCGGGATCCCACATGAGTTACTGAGTTTTGAAATTATTGCTTTTAAATAAAAAAAAAGTAATTCTATAAACAAAGACGAAAAAGATATCAAATTAAAGATTTTAATGTATTTGCATAACAAATTCATTTAAAAGTTTACTAGTCATTAAATGCACAATAAAATTTATACTGAGAAACTCGTTCAAATTTTTTTTTGCTTTGTTAATGATTAGTCATAAAATAGTCATGAAGTGCTCAATGAAATGTATACTGAGAAACTCGTTCAAATTTTTTTTGTTTTGTTAATGACTATGTTGAAATTTTTGCCAATGAGTATATTGAAATTTTTGTTGATGAGTATGTTGAAAACGTTAAATTAAAAGGTGATTAATAAAAAGCGCACTACTTTTTAACAAGACTTCAAA